CGACCTGACTGAGGATATGGCCCTAGATAGGAACCTTTGGAGAACTAGGATTAGAGTAGCTGGATAGGAGCTCGGTGTTGTAGAGGTTGTTTTGTAGTGTGTTGTATTTGTTGGGAATCTTTTGCTATTGTTTGTACTTGTTGCTTGTACTTGGTGCCTTATCTGTGCTATACTGTGTTCTCTTCCATATTTTTGTGCAAGTGGAGCCGGGGGTCTCTTGGAAACAGCCTCCCTACTTCCGAGTAGGGGCAAGGTCTGCGTACACACACCCTCCCGAGACCCTACTATTGTGGGATTCAACTGGGTTGTTGTTGTTGTTGTTTGTTATCCTCGTAGAGACATCTATTGTAGGTCTTCCAAAGAATCCAGATGATACATCCCGGTAAGATAAGCTTAAGAAGACCCCGAAGGCAACAAAGTCCCAAAGATGAAAAGAAAGCCAAATAAAACAAAAACAACATATATTAACACAGCTACAAAGAAAAACGATAAGGTCCATTCTCCTCAACTGAGCGTATCAGCTAGCTCAGCTCATCTGGTATGGTAGGGTAAAAGATTCAAGGCTTTAATTTCTTCCGATTTCGCAATCTTTTGGGCTTTTTTGCTCTACCAGTACCAGTGTTGAACCAGTTTTTGAATTTCAATAGTTATCCCCAATTTGGTTGCTTTGTTATCCTCGTAGAGACATCTATTGTAGGTCTTCCAAAGAATCCAGATGATACATCCCGGTAAGATAAGCTTAAGAAGACCCCGAAGGGAGGCTTTTTTATATCTCACCCACCATTATAATAGAAACTCCCTTAGCTCCATGCCTTGACTCCATACTGGACCTCCAATATAATTCGCGAAGTCTTGCCATATACTAAGAGAGAGGTCACATGTGAGTAGCGTATGTTCATCTGTTGCTTCAGCCTTAGCACAGAATAAACATTTACTAGGCAAATTATATGATAGTTGTTTGAGGATATTAGGAAAAGGGAGAAATTGTTTCAAGGCTTTAGCTTTAGCACAGAATAAACATTTACCACGACATGATGGCATACTTCCGTGGCGTCAACTACGTTCCGCCACCTTTCGACAGCACCATTCTCGGCCAAAACTTTGAAGGCGAGGATGAGGACGACGACTCCTACACTCCGTCCTCCTCCCCCGACAAGGCCGACTTTGAAGATGCGGTCGACGGCGATCCCATGGACGTCGAGGACGACGAGGACGCTGATGCCTAGACTCTTCTCTCTTCTCTCCTTACTATGATTGTAGTTTTTATTTCCATTCCGTTGTATTCCGCATTTCCCTCTTTAATGAATAAAAGTTTACTTTTAAAATTCTAAAGCTTACTTTTAATTCTTTTTGTTAATTTCAAAATGGGGAAGATATTAAGGTTGTTATGCATAAATTGAGAGGGAATTTTTTTTGTAAAATGGAATCTATTAAGGGGGAACATTTTTTTTCTCAAACTAATCCTCCTATGCATAACCTCGTCTTGTTTGCCATTATCAAAAAGGGGAAAATTGTTGAAACACGGGCTTGTCACGTTTTCGTACTAAAGCCGTGTTCGTTTTTGTAACAAGTTTTGATAATGCCAAACCGCCGTGATCAAGTCAAACATTGAATATACAAGGCGAAGAACGAAGATAAGAGCAAGAGCTAAACGAAGACCAAGAACGAAGACCTTAGTCATAATATTGAGTCGGTCCTTATTGTGATCAAGACCGACCCAATCTTCACACCTTAGCTCTTTAGGATCAAATCTCTCATTGCATTTCTTATATCATAAAAATGTTTTTCAAACTTTTTTATGTCATTAAAAACACTTGGTGTTTGCCCAAACCAAAAACCAAGCCAACCAGTGCTCGGCTTTCAGAAACCAGCGTCCGGCTTTCGGTTATCGGCTCTGGTTATTGGCATCCGAACCAACCAAGTGGTTTTCAGCATTTTATGATCTGCTTTCAGTCTTTGGGATGTTTAAACGGTTCTCCGACAAAAACACTTTGAAAACCATCTTTCGTTTTCAGTCGTTTTACAAAAACCACGGAAAACGGCGTAAACTTGGCTAGCCGTGGTTCTTACTCAAATGACGTGGTTTTTAAAGTAACTCACTTGATTTCTTAGCCAATTACATCAAATAAGTGTTTTAAACACTTGGTTTTTATTTTGGAGAACTTTGGATTTTTCGGTCGGTTTTTGCATCGGTTGGCTAGGCCGTGGTTAAGGCAATAACCCTAGGTTTTTGGCTAACCACCCACCCAGCGATGGGAAGAACATCCCATCGATGGGTAAGCGGCCCCTTAGCCAAACCAACTTCCAGAACCATGCCAAACAGCGATGGGAGGTTCTACCCATCGCTGTTAAAGCATTGGTCCAACATTATTACAAGGCAGAATGACCTTACCCAGCGATGGGAAGCTTTACCCATCGATGGGAACCCAGCGATGGGAAGGCTTAACCATCGATGGGAAGGCATCACCGTTGTATGTCATTTAAGGTTGATTCTTTACTTGTTTGGAAGCCAACCTCCCACCCAGCGATGGGAAGCATGTACCCATCGATGGGTACCGTTGGCTTCAAAACTGAAGGAAAATTGGCCTACCAGCGATGGGTAAGGTCCATACATCGCTGGGAAGCCAATATTCTGCAGATCCCAAATCTTTTCAATTCCATAAATCAAGCTAATCACTCCTTTAATGCATTGGTCCGTTGGAGCCTATTTTGGCACTATAAAAAGGGGTGTTTGGGTCTGCTTTTCTCATCAATTCAACTTCACAACATTCATACTTTCATTGCATTCAAATATCATCATTTTCCATAGCTTTCTAGAGCCATTTTTGTGTGGAGGTTGAGTTGTTCTTGAGCGTACTTAGTTTACTCATAATCTACTCTATAAGAGAGCCTCGTTCTTGAGTGTATTCGTGTTCTTAGACACTTTGAGAGAAAGTATTTCTCTCGGTAGATTCAAAGGAAGGGTTGTTTCCTTTGAAGGACTCGTTGAGGTTCGTGTAACTCTAACTCTCAAGTTGTAACGGTTTGTTAAGCACCCGCAAGCTTAACGAGATAGTAGTGTAGCTCGAGAGAGTCTCTCGGGAGGATGGATTAGCCACAAGTTGTGGTGAACCAGGGTAAAATTCGGTGTGCCTCTTACTCTTCTCTTTACTTCTCTTTTAAGTTTTTAATTCTTGCGATTTCTACGATCAAACGCTATTCACCCCCCCTCTAGCGTTGGTCTTTTATTCTAACAATTGGTATCGGAGCCTAACTCGCGTCTAAACTTAACCGTTTGAGAGTAAAGCGATCATGGGTTCTTCTTCTAGAAATCTTTATGCAGGAATTGGAGAAGGTCAATCAACATCTAGGCCACCGCTTTTTTTTAGGCACCAACTACACATATTGGAAAGAGCGGATGAGAATTTATATCCGCTCAACCAACTTCCAGTTGTGGTTGGTCATCAAAAACAGCAAAGAAACGCCAATGAAGAAGGTCAATGAAAAACTTGTCCCAAAGACCAAAGACGAATTTGATGCCGAAGACATCAAGAAGGTGGAGAACTACGCCAAGGCAATCAACATGCTGTACTGTGCGGTCAATCCTGATGATTATCGCAAGATCTCTTGCTGCACCACTGCAAAAGAAATGTGGGACAAGCTGGAAGTCACATATGAAGGTACGGACCAAGTTCGGGAAGCCAAAATTGACTTCCTAACGCAGGAGTACGAGATGTTCAGGATGAAGGAAGGAGAAAAGATCGATGACATGTTCGATCGGTTTTCAAAAATCATCAACGACCTTCACGCTCTGAAGAAGACGTACACCAACAGGGATCTCGTGAGGAAAATCCTGCGTAGTCTCACACCTGAATGGAGATCAAAGGCTGACGCAATCTACGAATCCATCGGAGTCTCCAATGTCACCATCGACGGGCTAAGAGGTAACCTCAAAACTTATGAATCTACTATTCTAACTCCGTCTTTGGATGAACAAAAGAAGAAGGGAATAGCACTGAAAGCAACCAAGGAGACCGTGGAAGAAGACTCAAGCGATGATGACAACGAGTTCGGACTCGTCATCAAGAAATTCCACAAATTTATGAAGAAGGAATTTGAGCGCAAAGGAAGAAAGCACGACGGTCCCCCAAAGTGCTATGGC